AACTATAGATATTAATAATTATAGATTGGCTGATCATCTTGAACAAGAACCGGAGAGGCGACGCGTTCGTAAAGAAAAGGTACAAAAAAAAATTGCTGAAGGAATGGCTGAACAACCACCAACAAAGAAGATACGTTTTGATGATACTGAATATCTTAAAGCTAGCGAAGAAATGAAAGAAAAAATCCAAGTTGCTGTATCTGAAGGTAAATTTTGATTTTATTCAAAATATAAATTACAATCTTTTCTCTTTGATTTATTAATTTTTTAATTTATTTTTTTTTATTCAGCTATGACAAAAAAGTCAAATTCTACTATTAGTAGCAATTCTGCCACTGGAAATTCAAAAGCTCTCTCATTATGGTAAATATTTCGAAAATCTATCGTTTTCGTTATTTTTAAAATCTACAGTTTGTCAATAAAATCTATTACTTTAGGGATGTCGATGGTGGATCTGATAGTAGTGAAGACGGTGAATCTGATAGTAGCGAAGACGATGTTACTGATACTGATAATGACGATAAGTGTTGATGATCTGAATCTGAAATCCACTGGACATTCGGATCTTTCCAATATTCTATTGGTTCTTAATGAAATTTTCTACTAAAAATCATCTTATGGGATGAATATAATGTTTAGTTAATAAAATTGCACATATAATTTTCAACCAAAATAAGCATATATAATATTGGTGTTAATCGGTAATTTCTGATAATGGCATTCTCTCTCTATATTTTAGAATCATATACACATACAATAAATTCATTTGTATACTTCATATTAGTTTAGTGAATGGAATTTCTAGTTCAACTCAATACAAATTGTAATTAAAAAAATTGTTAATAATAATTTAATATTTAGTAATTGTTTATTAAAGATCTTATAGAAATAATATCGTAACTATGTACCGAAGTGCTGAACATTATTTTCAAAATATAGTTTATTATTATTTTTTTTTTTACAGATTATAGTAAATATATAAATTTGTTTAGATCTAATCTGTGATTTGTATATAGAATTTAAAATAAAAAAATTTCTGGCGGATATATTCGTTCAAAGGTGTAAAAAAAAAAATTTAATTCAGAGAGAGAATATAAAAAATAATCACCAAAATTTAATTGTTTTATTAAATTACAATTTTTATAATCATATCAAAAAATTATCATACTTCAGAATTCGGTTTTGTCAATTAAGCTTAGTTAAGTAATGATTATGATTTTCACAGATGGATAGCCTTTAACATCCATAACGCAGATTAGATTTTTCGATCTCGTGAAAAAGTTAGAAGGATGCTGACTTACAGTAAATCGCATAAAGAAAATGTTTGATTGGAACATGAGATATATATTTAAGTAGGTAAAAATTTTGATATACGCATTTTTTTTTTCAAAGTGAGTATTTTTATTTTATTTTATATACTAACCTGATCCACTCTAATTGCTGATTTCAGCAATTTTAGTAGATTTTGGTGCTAGTCGATAAATTGAAATAGTCGACTTGACACTTGACAAAATTGATATAGGGTGTTCTCAAGCGTCTAGAACAATGAATGGATCGAAGATCACAAATGAGTTCTTCATCGCAATGAAAAAAAAGATAGTCGCGATCATCTTTTTTTTGCATTGATTGGATAAAATTTAATATCCGCATTTCGCACCTTGAGTCTTCGATCACTATCCAATCACATCGAGGAAGTTGCTGAGAACACCCATAGTCAAATCTTTTGAACTGAAGACACCAATTTTTCAGAGTTACTTTGATTAGATGAAATTTAAAAACCGGAATTCGCACAATGAGTTTTCAGCGAAATTATTATAAAATTCGCAATGACTCGATTTTTAGCGAATTACATTGAGGACACCTTTAGTCGATGGTTAATGAAAGTCGAAATTTGTTTCTTATAAATAAAAATTTTAATCTAAAAATGTCGTAAGATAGATAGTTTTTACAAAAATTTCTGAATTCGGAATAATATATAATATCTGGCTTAATCATATTCACATACCAGTACGTACTTGGATTGTGCACTAGTTCGGACCAGTTCTGAATTAGTCCCTTAAAAGTCTATAATTATTCTACAAAAATTAGCCAATCATAATGAGTCTGCCATCTTGAAAAGATAAATTCGTTATTCGTATCTGTGAAAGTTCTGTAAGATACTTTAAAAAATGAGTGGTTGGAACATTATATTGATAGGTTTTGGTGCCGCAATTTTCATCGCGCTTATTTATGTTTCAATTCCTAAAGGACCAAACCAGACGTAAGTAACTCGAGGCTTTTACTTAGTAAAATATCATGTTTCACAGTTAAATCACTACACTAAGGAAAAAAAAAAAAATCTTTCTTAATTAGAACGATACGGTCCTCACTTATTTTAACAATCATTTGTTGTTATTTGATGTATGTTATTTTTATTAGTCCTTTCTTTTAAAAAATTTACTGATTTAAAATTATTTATTTGCAAAAAAAGGTGGGCAATTACCTATTTAGCTCAACTTCATCCTTTAATAACTCCTAAAGTTCAGTATAAATAAGTCTTGAAGGTAAAATTTGAGATTAAATTTTCGAAAAAATTTTACTATAAAACCATTTGCTTGGTTTCTATTGATATATTCTGTGAAGAAATAATTTAAGTTATCAATTGACTAAATGAGCTTTTCGGATCTTTAGGCTTCAAAATAATCAAACTAAAAAAAAAGAAGACTTTTTTTTTTATACAAGGCGACTGCTATAATTTATTTTTCGAAACATATTAATTAAATAATCCTTAGATCAAAACTTTATATAATTTCTTTGTAGTTTAGCAAAAATGAAACGTCGGAGTGATATTGTTACTATTACTATCCTTTTATTTCTGTGATAATTCGTTAATTAGTTTTACTTTTTCAATTGAAAATTTAATAGATTTCAATTTTCCTTATTAATTATCATGAGGTTAATAAAGAATAAGCACAAGGACGAATCTTTTGGAATTTTTATTGTGCATGGTTTTCTATAAGAAAAAAAATAACAATGAGGAATTGGAGTGGTATTAAGCGGTATAATATTATTATGTTATTGTAGTATTGATCCTCTACTGAATTCTGTATATGTGTAGCAATAAGATAGAACTATGATTCATTCAAATATTTCAAAGGTAAATAATGTGAAAGATTTTGATAAAAATATATACTCTTTATATATTTGAATTAAAAAAAAAACGTATTTGTACTAAAATGTCGATAAATAGAACTTTAAATTCAAATAGTTTTAACTGAGTACTTGACTCATCGTATTTGAAATCTAATTAATAAGCAAACATACATTATTCTGTACAATAATTTCATACTTAACTCATATATATCAAAATAATCAATATGAGAGGTTTTAATATCGCATCGTTTTTTAAAAAATGATCTACATAGTCGATAGTATTCTCATATATCAATATCGATGTTTTTATGAATCTTTTGGTAATTTAATCAATTCTTGGACTTAAAGCAAACCTTTTCTTTAAATATGGATTTATTGAAATTTTAAATAAATAAAGATTTTAAATCTATTGTGTTATAATTTTTATTGGACGTCTGTGATCATGTGAATTGTATCACCATCGATTTGAAAATAAATTGATTCACTCCTAAGATTTAAGATGTTCTTCCTTCAATTACCTGGTTTGGTCGTTTGTCAAAATGGTTAGTATACAT